CCGCCACCCGGCAATATCCTCCTGCAACGCATAGGTACTGTCCATGGCATGGAAATGCACCGTTGCATCTAGGAGCTATAATATCCCAATCTTACGGGCTTGACGTCACAGGGTGTTAAGTGTGACAGACAACGACGACCTTGCTACATTCTTAAGTGCTTACGGATGTTCCCACCAGAGCAGTGGCCTTGAACGCACGCTTCGTTCCGCAGACAACTGTCTTTCGATTGGCAAGCAGTTCCTAGGTGTAAACAAAGTGAACGCGACTAGAAGGATTTCATGGCAGTTTACCCTGCACGGTGTAGCACTGGTAATTTTTGCACGCTTGACCACTGGCGCACGGACGATAGAAATCACAGTACGTTCCGAGGACAACTGCGCCTGATACGCATCGGTAATTGACGCAAATCAACGACCCGTAGCATTCTTGGCTGTTAATGCATTCTATAACGAAATTGAGACACGGAAACCTGATGTGTTGCTAAGTGACTATTAATAAAATGTTTATCCTCGCGAACATTGGCATTTTAGACTGTCAGAGGCAAACCATCTGAACGACTACTGATCTGTCAAAGTTCAGATAATTAGTGTAGAACTGAACTTCAGGCATAAATACGGAGAATGAGCTGATCAAAACAGCCATGGCTGCATTGTCCTCATTTTGCTCTTGCATATGGTGGCAAATGAAAGAACCCTTTTGTGGAAACCAGAAGTTTAAAACATCGGCAGAGCGAAGAAGGGGTATCATTTAGTCTAGTTTGCAATAAAGTATCGTATTCCTTGCAAATTCAGATCTTCGTAGTATAAAAGCCGCAGCAAAAGAACTCACAACTGAAAAGGCAAGGACTTGAATACCATTTGGACAGAAATTGATCTATGACAGATTGGCAAATTCTGACGGTAAATTCTCCGCTTGTGCGGGCGAACATCATGTATCGTTTGAGTTATGAGGATTCTTTCTAACCTGTGTGAACGAAACTTATCGAGGTGACAGAAATACTTTGAGGATGTACATCTAATCTAATCTCCATAGACTCTGGCACTAGGTCAAAACTGTATTCTGGAAGGGAAGGCGGCCTTCTGCTGGCTGAAGTGACGACTGACAATAATAGTTGGAAAGTGGCAAAGTTGCTGAGCAACACGAAATCTAACCGAAGAAGCTAAAGGACTTGAATCGCGGTGATATTATTTAGCTGCAATTGGTAGCCAGGTTGATGGAGTTTTGAAGAAGCTTCAATTCGGCGTGCTTATTCCGTGCTCAACAGGGGGATTCGAGAGAGTGTAGCTACTACAGGGACATCTCTCCATATAGCCTACCGAGTAAAGTCACCCAAAGCTGCTGGAAAAGAGATGCCGAGAAATGGCATCGCATATGAATCAAAGCGAGAAAGTGGCTTAAATCTGGACGAGTCACCGTCGGCCATATTTTACTCTACGTCAAATCTGCAAGAAATGCTGGGAATATGCTGTGAAGGCTTATGCCTGCTTCATAGTTGCTTTCAATAAAGTTCCCTGGTTGAAGCTACGCAGAATACTGCCTCATTGTTGGATGGAAGGCCAGCTACTATACGATATCCAAATCTTAGGCAACTAATCAGTGTTTTGTATCCAGATAAAGGATAATAAATCCATACCCTTCAAGATGTACATTGTTATTCACCATGTATGCGTGACTTGTCCCTTTACAGCTCATAATCTTTACGGACTGAATCAGCAGACTTAAACTAGTGGAACAGGATGCCACAATGAAGTTTGACTTTGTCATCCGCTGTTTGCTGATGATCTTTTCATATCAACCTGATTGAATAATGACGTCGAACATACATCTGAACGTTTCTGCAGTTGGAATGAAAACTAGCCTGTCCAAAACCGAGCTCATCGTACTCTCAAGCAAGGGCCCTCCCTTCCATCCGTTATATATAATGCAGTTGCAACAAAAGAGAATTTTAGTACCTCGGGGTAGCACTCAGTAGTCATGGTAGAGAGGGAGTCAAAACAGACACACAGATTGGTAACAGGTGCTGTAATGGTGAAGTTACACAAGTTCGCCGTGATGAAGAAGGAGCTACGCGGCAGTGAGCATGTGATTGTCGTTAAGTCTGTATGAGTATTAGCTTTGATCTATTGTCATGAGTGTGGTACATTGAGGGAATTGACTGCAATCCCGGAATCAAGAGGCAGAAACGAGGTTTCTTCGAAGAATTGTCAGCGTTAAGATTCCACAGTGTCCGGAATACCTTAGTTTCACATAACCTCAATTGTTGGCGGCTTTTCCGCCTTTTCCGCAGGGAAAGAAATCACAACTGCAATAGTGTAGACACGCAACGAATATGTTATAGCAGAGGTTCGTTTATCAGGTGCACTCCTGGCAAAGCCGCATGACAAAGGAATAACGGGCTTTCAAAATGAATGAATTGATGCAATGTGCACGATGCCTCTTCCACCTCAGCGGCGCTCGTTCAGCGACAAGGCTATCGAAAGTTTCTATGTGAATCAACGTCGCCAGCATTCGAGGCATTTGGACTGAGTTCCTTAAAGGCTTCGCGATTCCGGCGATATATATATATATATGAAAGAAACTATTATTATGAACCGAACAACACGAAAACCGCTAATGTGACGATCTCGAGTGTCAATCTAACCTGAGCGAGGTGGCGTTATTATTACTTCGAACTCCAACGGGTAACTGTAGCTGACTAGGGTGAGGCGGCGCTTTTCCGAACCATAAGTGCGGCTTTGTCATTCAAATTGAGATAAGGTAGACTGCCTCGCAATTATTTAATTTGTCGCTCCTCAGTAATTTGTGAATGCCACTATTTCACATATCGGGTATCGTTTAAACGGAAAGACGACAGGGAAGAAACGCCCAATACCTTCAAGCTGATCCGTAAACTGGGATATACAACCAGGAAGGAACCATATGGGTCTGAAAGTTAATTAATCGTTGGTATACTCATGAAGGACGAATATATATATAGCCGATCCGATCAGTAAACTGGGATACACAACCAGGAAGGAAGCACATGGGCCTGGAAGTGAATTAATCGTTGGTATACTCATGAAGGACGAATATATATATATATATTTGTCCTTCATGAGTCTACCAACGATTAATTCACTTCCAAACCCATATGGTTCCTTCCTGGTTGTATTTGTCCTTCATGAGTCTACCAACGATTAATT